AAAAAAGTAGATCATAACAATATTTATGATAATTTTCCAGGCAAATTTGCCTGGAAAAGCTTACAGTTTAAGGGATACTATCCCTTGTATCACCAGAACATCTCTGTTACATTCGTTAGTCAAGAGTTCTGAATGCGTACCATAGCCTTAGGACTAATTTATCCTCGAGACATTGTTGCTAGAGCTTTCCATACCCACAATCTGGCTAATCTAGACTTTTGGTAATTTACGCCAAGTCCGAGAATGAGTACTTGTGAGCCAAAGCCACTACTGTTATCTACTTCTGCCTTTGTAGAGTTCATACAAACCCCAGCACCCACTTTATGAACTTCTACTGTTTCTCTGGCCTCCAAACTCCCAATCCAGATAGCCCAGAAAGGCAGACCTCTTCTCTGATACCACAGTGGCCTAGTTGATATAGTGCCTTGCCAAACACCTCAGTCCTGTTTAGTTTCCAATTTTCTGGTTGATGATCCTTTATATAGTACTGTCGAAAGTTAACTACCTCTCTACTCAGGGCTTGCCAAGTGGGCTCCCGTGTGCTTTCATTCCAATACCTGGTTTTATCTGGCTGCTTCACTTGGGTTTTGTGTAACTTATACGTTACACTAATATTCCACAGCCTCCTAGTAAGCCCTGGTGCGACCAAGTTTACAGATCTCACCGATCCAATAGATTATACACAGTTTGTCGTAACACATTCTGTAAAATTCAAATTTTGTTACTAGTAAGATTTAAACTCTTGTCCTGCCGCTTGGGGGTGTAACAACTTAACAACTTCACTAAGTTGTCACACCCTTAAAAGTATTTTTATTTACTATATAAAAATCTAATATATCATGTAAATCATATGAAAAATGATCTAAATACACCCTACTCTTAAGGGTAAAGTAAACATAAATCATTTTTCATATAATCTACATGGTATATTAAAATTTTTACACAAACAGCAAAAATTCACCTCTGATAAAACTTTTTAGAAACATAACTAATATTTGCCAATTTTTCCAGTATATAATTTGGGATCTCTTATTTATAACAGCAAAATTATAAACACTGTGTCTTTTAAAAAAAATCTACTTCATATATTGGTAAAAATACTTAGGTGAACCCAAATTTTCTTAGGTCGCACAAAAATTGCTGATCCTGATTGGTCAAATTTGTTGTTTTTACGATTCTGATAACTACCCCAGAATCAGCATAATGGAAGTTCGTTTTGATTGGCTATTTATTTTATATTAAAAAGCATTATTACACAAGTTTTTCAATAGAAATTTTTATCTAAATAAGACGCGGTTAAATTTTTATAATCAAAGCCACCTAAAATTTTGTCAGATTATTTTTTGAATGCTTAACTTTCATATAAACGTTGGAGATTAAGTGAGATCAAGTGTTTCACCAACTTTTATTAGAAGTCATTTTGACAATATTAATACATAATACGGTATTATAAATATGATTTTTTTTAGTTTTTAAAGCAAAGTAACTAATAAAATCAAATTTATTTTTGAATAAACATTTCAAATTTCGCGTGAGCAAGATAAGATGATTAAAAAATTAATCGTCTTATGAATTTCAAGAAATTAGAAAAACTTGTATAACAATGCTTTTTTAATATAAAATAAATAGCCTGCTTCCAGGAAATTTTATAATAAATTTTTTATTTGGTGTAATGTCACGCGATCAAAATATTTTAAAACAAACGTCTGTTTAGAAAAAATTGCCTTTATTTCAAAAATTCACTTAACAAAAAAAATTCCTCGAGTAATTTTACTATTCCCTTTAATCTTCAACTTTAGTTTAGATGCTAACCCTAACATAAACGAAATTAAACAATTTTATCGATCATCACGTAATCGACAAAAATTTGTTGGCGATACTGAGAAGATGATTCTGATTGGTCAATCAAATGATTCATATGAATACTACGTGAAGACTATTAAAAATGATCTACGTCCACCCTACTAGAGGCCAAAGCCCCTAGCTATCCCACAAAATTTTTTCCACCCCTTGTAATATCGACCAATCAAATTGTTTAATACTCCTGTAAATTAAATTGTGTAATATTCACCATAACCGTTACTTTAACGTTCAAGTGAACGTTCATATTAACGTTCAAGTGAACATTCAAATTAACGTTCAAATGAACGTTAATGTGAACGTTCACTTGAATGTTAATATGAACATTCACTTGAACGTTAATATGAACGTTCACTTAAACATTAATATTAACGTTCACTTGAACATTAATATGAACATTCACTTGAACGTTAATATGAACGTTCACTTTAACGATATGAACGTTCACCTTTAACGTTAATATGAACGTTAATATATGAACGTTCACTTGAATATTAATATATGAACGTTCACTTGAACGTTAATATGAACGTTCGCTTGAACGTTAATATATGAACATTCACTTGAACGTTAATATGAACGTTCACTTGAATGTTAATATGAATGTTAAAATAAACGTTAAGACAAATGTTAAGTGAACGTTAAAGCGAGCATTATATTTAATCACAACACTTAAAGTAAACTTATTCAATAAACACAGCGAACAATGCATTTATTTATTTATTAAAAAAAAAATTTTTATATACGAATTTATTCAATAAACAACATAACGAAAGAACGACAAAATGCACCCAAAAGAACAACAAAATCACCAAAAAACGACGCAAGAAACAATAAAAAAAACGCCGTAAAAGTCACCAAAAAATGATGTAAAAAGAACAACGAGAGAAGCACCAAAGAGATGACGTAAAAAGAACGATGAGAGAAGCACCAAAGAGATGACGTAAAAACACAAAAAAAAAAGACGTAAAAAGCATCAAAAGAATGATAAAGAAAGCACCAGAAGAACAACATAAAAAAAAAAACCAAAAAAACGACGTAAAAAGTATTGAAAAACATGTAGAAAGCACAAGAAAAAACATAAAACATACCGAAAGAACGACGTATAAAGCACCAAAAGAACGGCGTAAAAAGCAGCGAAAGAACGATGTAAAGAGCACCAAAAGAACGACGTAAAAGTCACCAAAAGAACAACGTAAAAGGTACTGAAAGATCGATGTAGAAAAAGCGACGAAAAAAGAAAATTAAAAAAAAATTATTACTATTAGTTGATCGCGTTCATAAAAATAAAAAAAAATGCAGGGGTTAAAATGCAAGGGGTGAAAATTTTTTTGTGGGATAGCTACCTAAAATACTAGAGGCCTGCACGGGCCGAAATTTGAAAATTTTAAAAACCCCTCAAAATTGCGGGCCTGGTGTGTTAAGAACATAGTAAATTGCGGGCCGAACCAGTAAATTTTATTTTGCGGTCCGGCAAAAGTACAAATTTCTAGGCCCGTGCAGGTCCCTACACCCTACCCTTAATAAAATTAAATTTATCATTTTACAGTTTAATAACGGCGCATTTGTAAACTGTCCTAAAATTTGAAAAAGTTTGACTACTGATAGTGAGTCAATTGAATTCGACTTCATGTATACATATCGATATGAGTTAGAGTTATTATAATTGTGAAATATGTTCTGATTTATATTATGTACAATACATCCAATAACAAAATAATAACAAAATGTACGAATAAATGATAATGACAATAGAGAAAATTTTTTTATAATAAGATATAGTAATAAAAAATCATCTTTTCTATATTTTTTACGTGATTTTTAAATTTAAATTACTTGTAAAATTTTATCTACTCGACCAATTTTACCTATTAGAATCACAGAAACTGGGTCTACCATTTTTATTAGAAACCACAAGATGTTAGTTAATGCAAAATTGACTTTACATTGTAGGGAAGGTGATTTTTGGTTTTACATATATATATATATATACGGGTGTTTCAAAAGTTCCTATATAGTCCCTTTTTAAGTAACCTTATTTATGCAAAATATGCATATTTGAGCCATCGTGATCTCTATATAAAAAGGGGACGTATATAGGAACTTTTGAAACACCCGGAGGGTATATCGGTATAAGAATTTACTATTGGCGTTCTCATTTATTCGTGGATTTATCAATTAAATTTGAAAATTAGATATAAAATTCATACGTATAAATTTGTTTGATGACTTTAGGTAACGTGAACCGTAATAACAATTTTGCATATTGAAAAAATAGTCAAATATTTGGTATAAATTATTATTATTTTTTTTAAAAAACAAATTTTGCTTCAATACAAAGTTAGGCAATCCATTACACCGGTTCACGAAATAGTTATATTTTAGCAGCATTTTTATTGTACTATTTTATTGAAAAATTCGTTATTACAAGAAACGATCTTATTATATTTGAGTTACTAAACTTTTGCAATTGAAAGCATTGTTCGCGTATATGTTATGCATAGCATTTGGCATTTGGTAACTATTTTAAAGACTCGCATTTTAATACATTTGGTTGAATAACATTAGAATCTTGCAAAATTTTCAAAAATTCATTTATATCATTCAGCATTTGCTTAACACCACTTGATATATCTTCAGGATACCATTCAGGAACTTCACCTGAATTTAAATTACCGTTTGCAGAGAAATCATCTTCCCATGATTTCTTATATAACTAATAAATATGTACTGAATATTAAGAAACAGATTAGAAAAAAAAAAGCTGCTAATAAATCAAGTAGTTTACCGTAATTCCGAATGATACATTTTCCGATGGTTCACGTTGTAAAGGAATTTCCACTCCAGGTGAAACATTTAAAAATTTTCCTTCACAGTTCCAATATTCATATCGTGTAATCTCAATTATAAAATGCTCTTTCCATAAAAATTTCTTTTTATGTTTTTCGCAAACTGAGGTAACAATAACATCTTCAGTATTTGTATAAATCAAATGATTTTGTGGACTATAATTAGATATTAGTAAAATATATATACATTTATATATATATATATATTTATTTATGTATAATTAAATTTTTACAAATAATAGTACCTTAATCGTAGTTTATAAACAAATAATCCTTGAGGTCCAAATTTGTCGATGCTAAGTCTTTTAGCTGTTTTGATGGATAGTCTCCACGAACATCCACTGAAAGCAAACATACATATATATAAATATTTATAAAAATTTAGATTATAATAAAATTTAGGATTTTATAATTTATCGCCATTAGAATGCAGGATCAGGTGTAACGTGAAATCGAAGCGATTACGATTTTTTTCAAAAATCGGCTATAGCACGAAATTTTGCCTATGAAGCCATCTCTCGTGCTCTAACAAAAAAAATTCTTCTCGAAATTTTGGATTAGGACATTTTTTACTAAAGTGCCCTACCCTAACCCTAACCTAACCCTCACCCTAACCCTAAACTAACGAATTACTTTTAATGTTTTGATTTCATGTTACACCAGATCTTATAGGCGACAAAATAAAAAATTCTAAAATTTATACTCACTAATCCAAACTAGCCATGTTAATCTCCAACACATTTTTTTCATCAGCAACCGCATTCCATAAACCTATTTTGCCGTTCCTAAATGATACGTCAAACGCGCATGTCCATCTTTGTTCATCAAATCTAACGGGACGACGTGATGCACGAATCTTGAATTCATGAAATGATGAATCATCCCATACTTGATTATTAGAAAAATATTCTTCTAAATTTTTGAGTTGATTAAAATCTGTTGCAAGACTATTAACATAAAGTTAATTAAGTTGAACATAAAAAAAAAATTTTTTAAAAAAAAAAATTTTGAAAAATTATACCATGTAGCAAACTTTGATTGTAAACGAGTATCCTTCAAAACTAGGCTATTCAATCTATCAATTGACCATAATGACATATCTTTAGGAAAATAGGTAAGGCATATTTGGCCAAATCTAAATTTGTCAAATATATTATTAAAATAAATAAATAAGATCATGTTAAAAATATTTATACTGAGATTATTCACCTAACACGCATTTTGATTTCTTCATCGAACAAATACACTGTCTGCAAAGCTCTTAATAGAGCTTCTTCAATTCTTTTGACATTTTCTGTGTAAACACTGAAATTTACAGCAATTGGTTAATAAAAAAAATTTTGCTGTAAACGTAACAATGGATTGCAATAAATTTAGCGTTAAATTCTGACTCAAAAATTTCAATCTTTGTGTCAGTAGGGGATTGCTCTTCTTCAATAACAGGTTCGAAAACTTTAAAGAAGCCAACCATATCATAAGGTGGTATGAACAAACTAGGAGGATCTGTAATTCTAACTTTGTAAGGCATTCGAGGTTGTTCGATCATATGATAAACCCAACCTCTCTTTACTGGAATGCTGCGAGCCTATGAAAAAATATATGCAAATGGTTTACTACTTGTTATAAAAAGACAATGATTACTAATAAATGTTTATTGTCCTTACTAAGAAAACTTTAAGGTAAAGATTTTTAACGCGTGAAATTGCTTCATAAGCATTATCCTCATCATCACCAATAACTCTAACCATCTTGAACAAAAAAAAAAGGTCTTTATAAATAAATTGAATATTTAAACTTTAAATTTTATTACGTTTTAGCTTACATGATTTTGTGGTTCATACCACATGTAACATTTAGTTTGAACACGAATTGGATCCAAAAATTCATCTTTTTCACCAATGATTCGTGCAATTGGGATTTCGTGATCCGGAAAATAAAAGTGGGAAGAAAAAGGAAGGTCGATCTTAGGAAAACATTTAAGATCTTGTCCTTCCTTTTCTCTTGCCTCTCTACGCTGTAATTTTCTAATTTGTTTTTCTGTAAGGGCTTTTTCTGGTCTAGCCCAACCTTTGACTTTTCTTGCACTCCTGGATTTAATTTGATCCTTGAAAAAAAATGATATAAAAAATAATATAAAAAATGATATGAAAATGATATGAAAAGATGATATAAAAAATGATATGAAAAAGATGATATAAAAAATGATATGAAAAGATGATATAAAAAATGATATGAAAAGATGATATAAAAAATGATATGAAAAGGTGATGAGTAAAGTATTATTGTTATATATAAGCTCAAAGAACTTACATCGTGAATATTCATGGCGATCGTATTCCATTGCATAAGAGCTTGATCGAGATCACGACGCGTTCCCCACATTTCAATTTGCTATATATAGAAAAGATAAAATCAAATATGAAGGAAAAAAAAGTCTTTGAAATAACAATTTTACCCCTTCAGTATCATTATAACTCATGTGCGTATTTGTTGACTCTTCAATACGTGATAAATTGATCTTCCTATCACCTAGAACTAATTTTACATCGATATTTGGTGGAATCTAAAGTAACAAAAGTTTCTCGAAATTATAATATTTTTTATAAACAATAAAAAGTAAAGATTTTAAAAATGACTAGTTATAATTTACCAGCCATACTTCATCAGGCATTCTTCTAAAAGGAGATGTGGCACACTCATCATTCCTTTGTTGCGAACGCGGCTGTTTCCACTCTCGAGCTTCTTCTTCCTCATAAAATACATTATTATTATCGTTCAAAGAGTTATTTCTATAGACCATGAGGAAAATAGATTTAATAGTCAACTCATGTAGAATTTAAATTAATGTTTAAGTAATGAAGGTAAATTATATTCCTTTAATTACATTTGATGAAGTAATTATAGTCGTATATTACTATTAGATAATGATTGTGAAATTTAATAACGTCATTAAATGCATTTTTTACGTGTAATTCTGTCAATTCTTTAAAACTGAGTAATATGATCGGTTAACAATTTTATATTAATTATTTATACGATATAAAATACAAATAAAAATTACAATAAATAGTAGGTTATATTTAGAAATATTAACACAAATATTTCAAAAATCGATGCTACAGAAAATCGATGCTACAGTATTACGCTAACGCTCCCTTCAAGTAGATCGTACTATGTTTAAATTATACATAAAATTTATTTAATATTTTGTATCGAAGTTTTTATTAGTACTGTAAATTACTGTATTTTTAAATTTCTACTGTAAATTATAGATTGAGTTTTTTTTTTTTGAATCAAATAGTATTTAATTAATTAAAATAGTGAAACTATTACAATTTCAAATTTCTTAAAAATTTCGCGTATAAATATATATTAGTAAATTTCTTTTTTTATATTAGTGCACGAAGCATAGTCGCTGAAAATATTTCCGAAATTAATATCCGTGACTGTAAATTTAGAGACGCCACGAAATACAAGTTTTGAATCTTCGACTATATCATGAAGCATGTTCGGCCGAAGGCAACAAAGGTGAATCACAAAGAAAAGAGCTTAGTATAACTGCAGATAATTAGCTTCGCTATTAGTTCATAATAGTTATTTAGTAACTTGGGTAAGATTGGTTACGACATTTATGTGCGAGGAAAGGGGACATAAGAATACTAACCCGATAATTTTCCACTTATTATACGGCATATCCTTGACCGAATCACTATAGTCACGCCTCTGGCGTGTTGCATTATCCCTATTTTCCTTTGCATTCGTTCAAAAGATTATTATAAGTTAATCAAAAACCCGGAAACCTAACTTTTACTTTGTAATGATTATATAGATTTAGTAAACTTCATTTATTTTCTATTTATTCATTTTAATTATTGATATATTTTTTATAATATCAACGATTACTTAAGTAACAGGTTTCTATCATGACTTTTACAAGGGCATTTTTTTAAGATCACACCCCACGGCAAAAATACTATTCCTGATGGATCGGCAATACCGATCTTGATGAGGTAAAAAATTTTTTTTATTTGAGTACTGTTCCTGATAAGGCTCTAAAAACGAACCCTTATCCTAAATTTTTTCGTTATAGTAGTATAGTACTTTGGAGGCCCTTTTTTTAGAACCCTATCAGGAATGATACGTACGTATATAAATCGATTTTTTTTCCCACCTTATCAGACGGGACGATCCATCAGGAATGGCATTTTTGCCACCTCACGATATGCTATTTGTGACTTTAAATACAGTATAATAATATAGGCTGTTTATAATAATATCGGCAGGCTATAATAATCTAGCAGTCTATAACAATAATAATGTAGACAGTCTATAATAATATAGGTAGTCTATATAATATAGGCAATATCAGCGTCTATGACAACCAAAATAAATTTGACACATGGCTTTTGAGGAAATACTACGTAAAAAACTTTTGCCATGCCATCAGCCGCAAATCATTCACATCCACGTATATCATTTTTAATTTTTTTAACTTTTGATTGAAGTTATCTTAGTATCCATCTAACGAACTTTTGATTTAATGATCAATAGAATTCAAACAAGTTCATCGAATTTGGTCAAGTGGATGTTGAGGTGTCCTCGATCAAAATGGTATAAGATTTTAAACGCCTATTATTACTTGTTTTTAAACTTTGAAGATATCTCACCTTACCAAATTCGATGAACTTTTCTTTTTTTGAATTCTATTTATCTTTAAAATTAAAATACTATAAAATAAATAAATTTATCGAATTTGGTCAAGTGAGTTCCGAGATATCTTTTATTAAAGTTTAAAAACAATCTTTATACTACGTACTAATTTTATAATAAACGTTTAAAATTTTGATGATATCTCGACATCCACTGACAAATTTGATAACTTTTTTTTTTTAAATTCTAATGATCTTTACAATTAAAATAATAATAATAATAATAATAATCGAATTTGGTCAGGTAGGTGCTGAAATATCTTAGATCAAAGTTTAAAAAAATTATTAAAAATTAAAAAAGA